CCAGGGACGTCGGAAGAAGGTAGAGAAGTCCAGATGGTCTGATCTCTGTCTCTCGGGGACTTGAAATTGCTTGTCCGACGTGGTCCGACTGTAAATGATTTTCAAAAAGTGGGCCCATCGACCTGCAAATGGCTGTAGCAGTATGCCGGCAACTAGTAGTACTTGGTACTAAGCCTGAGTAGTAGCACGGATCCGCAGGCACTCGGACGACCCGCAGACGGCTCCGCTGCCAGGGAAGGATAGATGCACGTCAAGGCGACGTCATGGGGCGATATATACTTCTTCGGGGGTATGGCGTCCTAATGCGGCTCGCGGTGAATGCGCCGTGGCAGAAAGAGCACTTGAGGAGGCATGCTGCTTGATGCCGTGAGTAGTTAAGCGACGAGGATACCGTTATGTCTTCTCTTGGTCGTCGAACGAGCGAAGACGCAAACGTAGCATTCATGTCGAGCGGGAATTATATCGGCTCCGTGGACGTCGCGGGGAGGGCCAAGTGGCGGTGGCACCTGCGCAGCGTTCCTTGACAGGCCTTGACTCGAGGGTCGGAAAGGTGGCCCGGCGTCTGCTTAACGGCGAACGGGGGCGTCAAAGGTCCCTACATAGGAACAGCAAGGGGGTCCGGGCCGGAGAGGGTGGCGCGTAGCGGCGGTGTTGGGGGGGGGGGTCTACAATAGGTGTCGTGTCGGGGGCTATCGAACCAGGTCAGGCGTAGGCAGAATGCAGACGAGTAGAACAACCCCGGTCCAACTGTTCGAACCTCGAGTAAGTACTGTAGCGGGAAATAACGAATCCGCTCGGCTCGCGATCAGCGAATCAGATCCGCCCCTGCTCAGAAACTACTCCACCGTGGACGCGACTGCACATATCAGCCCTGCGTCTGCCAGTGCTTATCACCAGCCTTGCTCGCCATCTCGAGTTCAAGTACACCAAGCATACACCCCAATCCTACCTACCGACCTGAAGTTCCTCGCTCGCTCTATTCGAGTTTCTCAACCCAGGAACCCGTCCAGATCACTCCTCCCGTCTAATAGTAGCATTAACATTGACAGCAGACACATATTGGCACCTCACCAACTTGAACCTGCCACCGTTGTCTAGTAGTAGCAGCCACCGCGATCATTCCAGTCGCAGTCAAATATCATCCTCCTCTTGCAAGCAGAGCCGAAGTGCGCATGCCAAGCGCCCACCACCGCGACCCTCCCCCGTCCTCCGCGTTCACGGACGCCTGCCCGACGTCAGCGGCCCGTCTGCCAATCACCCGCCCGACAGATATCATAGATCGCACTATGCGTATCACTACACACTCCCTCGACGTCGACACTGACACTGACATTGACAGGGTCATCTGAACGAGATGGAACTTGGAGGACTGTAGAAGGAACTTGGTGCGCGACCCGAGGTTATGCTCGAGACCGAGCTCGAGATCCCCATCAACGCACGAACTCATCCAGCGACGCGAAGAGAGCAGAACGCGCGCCGCTCTGCCGGCTACTGTGATGACGTCGAACCGCCGAGGACTCGAACACGAGCAAACTGGCGCAGGCGTGCGAGCAGGCACTATGTAGCCTGCAATTTAAATCCATCCGAGTCCGCGCTTCAGAGATCGCATCAACCTGGACGCAAACGGGTTCATTTAGCCAGGGGCACTCCTCTCATACGCACGTCTCGATACACAAGGACCCACAGCGCCAGCGTTGACGCGGAAGAGAGCAGAACGCCGTTAATGAAATCAAACGCCGCACCGAGGACGCGAAGGCGCCTGTCTGCCTTCGCCTTCGCCTTCCATTCCTTCATCCGACTCTTCGCGGTTCTTTCAGCCCCTATGTACCCCAACCGAGAACCGAAACCAAACCAATCACAAGTCCTCCCTCGAAGCCGTACATAGCATAAACAAACAGCGTAAGGTGGTAAAGCCTATCCTAAGCGGGGAAGGATGAAGGATGACGGATGAAGGGGCGATTAGACAGACTAGCGTACCCACCACCACCAACGTATGCACACCGAATCAGAATGTAAACGAAAACAAAACCGAAACGAAATGGAGCGACTGATGCAGCATGATACAGATACAACGATTGCCAACACATGATAGAGAGATGGGGGAAGAGACAGAGAGAGACAGGGAGAGATGCACGAGACGGATGGGATAGGATGAGCGAGCGAAGCGAAGGAGACGAGGCGCTCTATGTGATCGCGGGGAGAGCGGAGGGGGAGGAGCCTAGATACTATCAACCATCAGTAATGTATCATCGGGGATGAAATCTGAGATGCCCGGCGCCCACTCACGGTGCGGCGGAACGCACCCGTAACCAAATCACAACGGCGGGAGGGGGGTGGGAGCGTGGCGGTCATGGCGTGGCGTCACAATGAAGCAGGCGAAATGGACGAGGGACGAGGCGAAGCAGACGGGAGGGACGGGAAACACGAAAGAGGGGAGAGGAAGGAACCCGGGCTCGCTATAATATCCCCGAGTCCTTGAGCGCGTTCTGTAATATCGTCTCCTTCACAGCTGCGAACACGAGCCGGATATTCCGCGTATCCGTGGCCTGTGTTACACTGCGCGGGGTAGAATCAGCACCATGTCAAATCATAGATGTTGCTACGCGATAAAGAAGAACTACCGCCAAGAAGGCAAAGGAAAGGAGCAGTGCACGGAGAAAGGTTAGTTGGGGGCGGATAGAACACTCACTGCGGGTACACGCTCAGCCGCGCCCGGTTCGCCTGCATGAACTTCCACAGGATATACTTCGTCGCCTTGTTGATATCTGCGCCGCCCGTGTACTCGGGGAAGTACTTCGCCAGTGGCACCTGATGAACATACCTCGTCAGAATACTCTGCAGATGGGTATATTCGCGGGAGACGAAGGGGAAAAAGGAGCAAGGGCAGGGCAGGGCAAAAACGAAGGAACAGGACTTGCCTTTGGAATCTTCGCCTTGAACACGTCGATCTTGTTCAGGAAAAGTATGATGGACGTGCGGAGGAACCACCGCGAGTTGATCACGCTCTCGAACAGCACGAGCGACTCCTCCATCCGGTTCTGCGCCGCCACGCACACCGTAGGGTTAGGATCCGAGCATCCTAGCGGCAGAATACGATAGCAACGCGCACCTGCTTGTTCTCCTCCAAGAGCACCTGGTCGTACTCGCTGAGCGCGGTGCAGAAGATGATGCTCGTCACGCTCTCGAAACAGTGTATCCACTTTCTTCGCTCCGAGCGCTGCCCGCCGACGTCGAACATGTGTATTCTGCCATGTCACGCCACGCCACGGGGGAGGCCAGGCGAGGTGGAGGGGTTCGGCGGTGGGCGTGAAGTACAGTGTGGCGATCGAAGTAAGCAGGGATCACAGGCGCCGCGGTCAGTGCACATTCCAGAGGCAGGGACAGGCACTCACGATAGCTGCCCGATGCTGAATCGCGTCTCGGTCACGCCCGTGCTCTTCGCGCGCACGCGCAGCACGTCCGCCTCCGTCGGCACGTAGTGGCTCGCGCCTATCCGCGGTGCTTCTTGGAAGAAACTGGTCGTCGTCAGTACAGCGCAGGGATGGCGTTGGTCGAGTGTTCGTGCGAGGAAAGGACTCACTAGCTCGCATTGTCCATCAGGTAGAAATTACTGCTGTAGTCCATGAGGCGGGGTATGATCGGGTCCTTCCACAGCTCGTGTATCGCCTGCGCGACGTCCTCCGAGAACACAAACGCGGGCGAATTCTCAATCTTATAGTCCAATATCCTATCCGAATTCGACTGCCCCACACCCATCAGCCCCCGCGTTATCCAACACCGCACGCCACTCACCCTATTCTGGGGGACGACGCAGTCGACGCCGAACTTGCGCATCGCGAGGACGACCGCCTGCGCGCTGTCGAGCAGGTTCGCGTAGACGGTGTAGCGGAAGGCGCAGAGCTCGTCCCTGGAGAAGCCGTCCTGGTGGATGATCTTCATCTGCTTGACGATCGTCGACTTGCCGGACTCGCCCGCGCCGAGGAGGAGGATCTTGCACTCGCGCTTGAGGCGCTTCGCGTCCTTCTCGAGCGTGCGGTCGATCTCGTCCGAGCGCGCCTTCGCCGCGGCGGCGTCGGGCGCGGACATGCATATGCCCATCGGGGGCCAGCGAGCGTGGGGGAGGGCAGGGGTGAGGGCGTCGGCGAGTACGGTGAGGACGACGGGGAGAGGGTGGGCGGCGGCGTCGGCGGCGGCGGCAGGAAAAGCAGAGCAGGAGACAGCTGTTGGCGACCGTGTGCGTCTTTCGCTCGCTCGCGCTCTAATTAGTTCCTGATGTGACTGACGTAGCACAACAATCACGTCACGCCGTTCCTGTATCTGCATGGATTCAATCAAAAGTCATTTATCATTTATTCGCTGTGATTATCTACACACCTCTGCATCTCCTCACCGCTACGCCTGCGCCCACGACCACACCCACACCCACACGCAACGACCCCCGACATACCGCTCACAGCAGGCGGCGGCGGGACGCTGCATCGCATACCCCTGCGCGATCTCGATCGATCGCAGATTGACTCCGGCCCGATCCACAGCCACACTTTAATCTGTCCTTATTGATCCTCTTGCCCCGCGCCCTCCCGCGGCGATTTGTAGTCACGGCCTGTCAGACATGCATACGCCCATGCTGCGATTTAATTTATGGCGGGAGAGGGGTTCTGCCTGGGGCGTGCTTCGCGAACATCGTACCTCCTTCCACTGGCATTCCGAATGCACTCGATATATATGCGTCTGACCACTCCACTCTACATCCAACCTTTCATCCGTTTAATCAACCTCAACTCTACCTGACGAGACAAGAAGTGACGATCGGCTTCCTCGCTGTGTGCGGCTTCGCGCAATCAATCAGGATTCTGCTGTGTCTCACCGGATTCGACACGGTTCTTGCATATGGGACTTACTAGGCGTGTTTCCTCGCAGTGCAGTCGAGGGTCGTTCTGTGCGCTGGATATGTCCTCGTCCGCCTTCCTGGTCAACAGCATCTGGAACCACTCCCCGCGGCCTGTAAATCACCCTCTGCTCGCCACTCCCCCGGGCCGCAGATCCTAACGGTTACTTTAGAGGCTCTCCGTCCATAACCAGACACCGGGCTGCCCTTCCGGCTTGCGAAAGACACTTAATCCTCAAGGCACGTCACCGCCACTTGCCCCCGCGACGTCCACGGAACCGAGGAAACTATTCGGGATCCCGGTCGACCTCGTCATGGTGCTGAATTTGCGTATGTACTCGCTGGCCTACACCGATACATGAATTACGGTGATCTGGTTACTACCGGCAAACCTCCTCTTTCTCCTGTCACTGCCAACTTTCTCTTCTCCGGCGAGCCGCATTGGGACAACGAGCCGCAGACGAAGACGTATATATAGCCCCATGACGTCGCCTCGCCGTCCATCTATCCTTCCCTGGCCGCGGGGCCGTCCCGCGGATCTCTAGTAGTACTATGTATAACGGGTGCTAGCAGACGCCGAAGAAAACGTCGGGAACACAAGGACGCGCTGAAATTTAAAAACAAGCTTGGGCGCCGTCACAGGAAATCGTGACTTTACCACTGCAGCACACTCAGGTGGCCATGTATACGGAGTTTCGTTGCGGCTGCCATCGTGTGCTTCGCTAAGACTTGAGTCCGTAAGCGATGAATATATGAAACATATGGTGGAGGACCGCAAACGTACCAGACGGCGGCCCAGCGCCTAGCGACAGCTGCGCGGCAGCCAAAGACGCTCCTGCCTCCCATCGCGCGCGGACGCCCATCAGAATAAAAGTATAAAACGATTGCACGCACTTTGGTTGCTCTCCCAGCGTATGTAGATCTAGCGCTCGAGACAGGGTGTCCATTGCGCGACGGGAGGAAGGTCGTGTGCGCAACTGGGGTAGGGGACAGAGTCCGGCATAGATCAGTGAATGTCGATAGAGCCGTGACGGACGGACTGCCATAACCAGTCCCTTCAGCCTCTCCAACGCAGGCGCAGGTTTCCGTACATGTTGCATGTACACGAGACGGCGAGAAACGCTGGTGGTAGGACTATCGAGACAGGATGAGAGCGCTAGAAGGGAGCAGAACATCCTTTGTACTAGTACATGAGCAGGGGCAGATTGTGATTCGCTGATCGCGAGCCGAGTGGCGCGGCGACGGTTCTCGGTCTTTGCCACAGTCAACACCGGCGGTTCACTCTATCACGCAACCTCCACAGACGGCGATGGAGCGAAACGCGCGACTGGCGAACAGCCTGCAACTCTTGCGGTGCTTCTGGCTTTCCAAGCTGCACCTCCCACGGGGCGAGCCTGGAGGACGAAGAGGGGAGCGAGAGGGATCCGCGCCTCACGCTGCTCAATGATGTGGCCACGCTGCTGTGTACCGGCGAGCAGGACCGTTCGGTGGCGGTCACGATGGAAAACACGGAGGAGGAGGGGCTGCGGTTAACGCTCGCGACCGCTGCCGGGCGCCGACCCCCTGGAGAGTGAACGTGAAGCTGCTGACACACTCTTTCTATTACTGCGAGACGAAAAGACGGGCATGCAGTGTCTTTTCGATCATGCCGTGTGCAGCGGCGTGCTGCGGGTGAAGAGGTTGGTCGAAGAATCTCGAGCTGTTTCCGGCGATGTCCCTCGTGGATGAGGTCACCTCGTGGCGCAGATGCGAGGAGGAGATACCACTGCTGACACGGGCGCGGGAGCTGTGCGGAGCGGAGACCTCCCTGTCCCCAGCAGACTGTATGAAGCGTCTCTTCGTCGCACTCCGCGAACAGATAGGCTGCCTTCCCGGACTCATCACGCCGGAGAACATCAGGGATAGAGGCACGCGGGCCCAAGTATACCGCCTTTCTTGCCTGTGCGACATCCTGGGGCGCTCGAGGTTCTTCCGCCGCGTCCCGAGATTGAACATGTTCGAGCCTCTCAGCCACATGCGGTGGGTCTGATGTCCGCGCTGCTCCTCCTCGGCAGATACTCTGGTGCCGCCGCGCGCCTCTCGAAACGGGCGCGCAGCATAAGAGACCCCGTCAGCTATGTGTGGGACACGGATATTGCTGCCCCTCCAGCGCCGCAGGAGCTGGTCCTCCGCACTACGGCGTACGAAGCTTTGAGGGCGGGTGATTATGTAGAAGCCACCTCAGGCGAAGAACGAGACACCGACGAAGCTATAGTAGATTCAGTATTCAAGGACGCGGAGTGGAAGAACCGAGCCACCGCCTTTCTCCACCCCGAGCTGCGACTCATACTCCTCGCCAAGGATACCACCGAGCGCATCTTAGGTATCAGCGACGATCTCTGCTTTTGCTGCAAGCGGTGGATCGAGTATTACAATGAACTTGGATCCACCGAGCGGAAGTGGATCGTCCGCCCCGGACTCGACGTGCCGGACCCGACTTGGATGTATCCCCAGAAACATCCATTGGAACAGGAGATCGAACCGCTTGTGGCCGAGTGGACCCATAAACTGGTCCAATGGCGTCTGGGTGGTCTATCCGTCCGCCGCGGATTGCTCCTATGGTAGTGATATGCTCCTGAGCGTACCGTACTCGGTATGGTGTGGTATATACCAGAGCTGTGCTTCGAGATGCTAAGTAAAGTAATGCGGAATGCCGCAAGTGAATTGACAATACGGCGAAAGCATGCGATTAGCTGCGAATACCATTTCCTCTTATATTGTGCCTGTAAAAGACCATACTAGCAGCGGCTTTTCTTCCTAGACTGGTATCAATGCATGTATGGAACGTCTGCCGCGAGTCATCCGGTGCCTCGGATTACCCAGTACCACAATGGCCCATATGGACCCGATACCCGAGTGACATCTCTACCAGGACGCTGCGATTACAGCATGCTGTATCTGGCTCCAAGTTCACAGCCGGATGTAAGCGGATGTGGCCCGCTGTGCTGACATCGATAGTAGCCAGATACCGTCGTCGTGTGCTTGTATTCGAGATACGATACATGACCCACTGGGTTTAAGACTGTGTCTTATTCATCGCCTACCAACTTGGAGGTTCAAGTTGGTAGGTGGTGAGTAAAATACGTGAATTAGGGGTCGAAGAACTGCATCCTGGAGATCAGTCTGAGCCAATTTAAACAAATCAGAGGACAGTGTCGTCAATAAGTCACGTAAGGATCAAAGCAAGGATCGCGGAACGGCCAGCGAGATGCTCCTAGCAGAGATCAGCCTTCTTAGTACATGTACACTGGTCAACGCGACTAAGCCTAACGCTGCGCGACACGTCTGACAAATGCATTTCGATGTGCCATGTTCTCAAATTGGGTAGGGCTCTCCGACATGAATCATTGAGTGCCGATAAAGACATACAGTAACCCGTCACGGTGTGCACTAACCAAGCCGAGTGCGCAACTTACAGAGGCTGGACAGGAAACACCCATGCAAGTGCAGACCTAGTGTGACGGTTCCGTACGTCGATAATAGGTTGCAATTGCAGAAGATGAAGAGTGAGGTTTACGGTAGACGTAGGATGAATGCAAGAGGGCGGGGCGTCCTTTGTGAGCAGGGATAGAATGTGTTCGCTGAGTGGCGTGGCAACGGGTCTCGGTAACTTCCGCACTGGCAATCCCGGCGGTTCACTTTGTCTCGTAACTGCGAGTCCTCATGGTACATATGGCGAGCTAGTCGACTTGCTGAATACGCGCGACTCACGTTCAAGGCCTCCCTGAGTGCAAGTCTACTGTTGCAATAATCAAGTAGACCATGGAGGCTATCGATATCATTAATATCGCTTCCTACAACCCGGGCACCCAACATTGACTTGCACAGCATCCATCTCCTGGTGGACGCTATTTATGGGTAAGTACCAGGCTGAGTGATGCAGACTGTACTGAGCATCTCGTTGCTCCCGCGTCTTCGTCGCCTCTTCGAGGGCAGGCTTAGGGGTCCCTCCCAGGTATATGTAGCGACTAGCGATGCATTGACTCGGAATACAGGTAGGGCACTATTTCGTGCTCCCGTTCAGGACCTGCGCTCGTTGCTGGGGTCGTACGTGATAGAATCTGAGCAGCCCCGAGCACAGTGATACTGATCCTGTCTGTCCATCCATGCTGATCATCACGTACCTACACACATGGAGCCACTCCGTCTAGTAGTATATACACACCCCACCCTCTCGCCTTCACAAAGTCTCAGGTCTCCATACCACTCCCACCGACATGCGCACTGGTCCTCTACCGTACCTCTCCTTAATATTTCTTTCTATACTCTCATACCCAGCCGCAGCGCTCAATTGGACAGCAACACCCTTCACCCCGCACGCCGTCCCCCTCGCCGTGCGCTCGCCCTACCTTAGTGCGTGGCTCGCCCAGGGCGCGGGCGCCGCACTAAACGATGCATGGGCAACCTTCTGGACTGGTTCGGTGCGTGTCCTTGCCTTCCTTTCGACCTCATGCTGACGAGGAGAGGGGTTTAGATCGTGGGATGGGCGGGGTACGTTCGAGTTGACGGCACGCCGTACACCTTCATGGGTATCCCCGCGGGGACCAGCCCCGTTCCAGCGAAAGCGATCCAGAAAAGCTTGAACGTACGCCTGATCCTCTCTATATCACATACTTACTACATGCCCATTGACACATATTGATTGAGCATAGTGGACAGCGACGCAGAGTACGTTCGTTCTTAGCGCCGGCGGGGTGGACCTCACCGCCACTTTCCTAAGCCCCATCACCGTACGTCCTCTCTCTTCCCTCCCTTCATACCTGGCCTTGCACACCACGCCCTTACTAAACATATCCCAGCCTACGAAGCTCGTCAACCAATCCTTCCCCTTCTCCTACCTCGCGCTCAGCGCCGCACCGAATGACGGGAAACCGCACACGGTCCAGGTGTACACCGACATCACGGGCGAGTGGCTCACGAGCAACGCTAGCCTTGTGGCGAACTGGAGCACGAGTGCGGGTGCAAGTGCGGGTGTGTGGACGCACGAGGTACAGCTCGCGCAGCAGGAGGTGTATGGCGAGGTGAAGGACCGTGTCCAATGTGAGTTTGGAGCAATGATCCGAGTGGCATCGCGCATGAATGATCGGGCTTCTCCAGACGGGTCCGCTTACTACTCCACCCTCGCCGTACGTCTCCCTCTACCCCCCAATATTCTCACATCCCCTCCTCATGACTGAACCCCAGACCCCGAACACGACGTACCAAACTGGAGAAGACACCCTCGTCCGCTCCTATTTCCTCGCGAACGGCACCCTCCCGGGCACGCAGGACACGGCCTTCCGCGCGGTCTCCGACCGCTGGCCCGTCTTCGCGTTTGCGCACGATTTGGGGACTGTCGATGAGGGTGGGGTGGGGCCGGTTATGTTTGCTGTTGGGCATGTGAGGGACCCGGCGGTGGAGTATGTAGTGGGAGGGGCAGGTGGGTCGCAGAATCGGAGCTTGTATTTCTGGAGTCAGTACGACTCTGTCGATGACGCGGTGCGTCCTCCCTCTCCCAAGCAGCCCCCTCTCTTACTGGCAAAGACACAGATCGCGGATTTTATAGCCGATTATCCCAATGCGCTGACCACCGCGGAGGCGTTCGACGCCCGCCTGCAGGCCGACGCGAGCAAGGTATCGAGCAACTACGCCGACATTGTGGCGCTGTCTGTACGCCAGGCGATGGCCACCGTCGAGCTCACTATATCCAAAGGGAGCGATGGTTCGTGGAATACGAGCGACTCTATGATGTTCCTCAAAGGTATGCTCCTCCTCCTCCCTCTTTCCATCTCCTGAATTCACCATTCTTTCTCATTCCGCTACTGCAGAAATATCGAGTTCCGGTGTAAGTGACTATGAGTTTCTTTGAACTTGTAAGACATGCAGAGGACTGAAGGCACACAGCTCGCGAGCACCACCGATGTCATCTTCGCCTCCTGGCCGCTCTGGCTGTACGCCAATCCGGCGCTGGGGAAGTATCTCCTGCGCCCGCTTCTCGCGTACCAGGCGAGCGGGATGTATCCGAATCAGTGGAGCGCGCATGATTTGGGTGCGTGTTGCCTACATCAAGTGGAGGTGGAAGTGGAAACTTGGATACTAATTGGGGCTAGGGACGTATCCGAAGGCGTTGGGGCATAACGATGGTGAGAGGCATGGCGAGGTCTGGTTGGGTGATGGGACTGATTGCGCTGCGCGCAGGGAAGGACCTGGCAATGCCAGTGGAAGGTAATCGGGGTCTTGTCCGTCGGAAACGGGAGGATAGCTCACGCAGAGGTTATATCCCAGAATGCGGCAACATGCTCATCATGGCCCTCTCCTACACCCTCGCCACGAGCGACCACTCCCTCATTACCACCTACGTCCGTCTCCTCTTCCCTGCCCAGTTACTCCGCTGACACTGTAACAGTACACCCTCCTCGACCAGTGGACCCAGTACCTCGTCACCAACTCTCTCATGCCGGCCAACCAGCTCAGCACGGACGCCTTCGCGGGATCTCTGGCGAACCAGACCAACCTCGCCATCAAGGGCATCGTCGGCATCAAGGCGATGAGCGTCATTGCGAACATGACGGGGGATGCGGGGCGGGCGGCGGATTACAGCGTACGTTCATGGTCCTTACGCTTGGTCAGGTTAGGAGCCAGGTTTGTTATAATTAATGACGGATATTTAGTCTGTTGCGAGTGGGTATGCGGAGCAGTTTAGTAAGCTCGCTATGGCGAGCACCGGGGGACACTTGACGTTGAATGTAAGCAGTTTATTCGCTCACTTGTATCCATGTCTTAACCCTTTCGTATTGCAGTACGGCGATGACCGCAGGTACGTTCTTTCATGGTATGAAAGCATGTATGACCATTGATTCTGACTTTCGTGTCTGCCAGCTGGGGCCTCGCGTACAACCTGTATGCCGACGTGCTCCTGGGCACTCAAGTGTTTCCGAAGTTGTTATATCAGATGCGTACGTGGCCTTAATGAGCGTATCCGACCCGTACTGATGTGTGTCTCGTCCAGAGGACTGTTGGTACGGTACCGTCGCCAGTGAGTATCGAAAGAGCCCGCAGCACTACAACTTACGGATATCTCTACAGGCACGTACGGCGTCCCCCTAGACACTAGGCACACATACACCGAATCAGGTATAATTATGATTCCGTACTTCACCCCAGCTCATCGCGTCTTCTCCAGACTGGGAAATCTGGATGGCAGCCCTTGCCACTTCCACGCAGACGCGCGACCTCTTCATCGAATCCGTGCACAACTACGCCACATACAACGTTGGCAACAACAGCGAGCCACTAGGCGACTGGTACGACGCGATCTCGGGCGTGGCACAGGCATTCCGCGCGCGCCCACAGGTCGGGGCACACCTTGCGCTCCTGCTTATCAATGCCACCACAACAAATGCGGGGAGTCAGGGATGTGCACTTACCAGCACCAGTTCGTTTCCAGCATTTTCTGGGACGCAGGGGCCGAGTGCGACCGGCGGGAGTAGTGGTGCGGCGCCGAGCCATACAAGCCCAGCGACCCGCGTAATTGTTCGTCCTGTCCTGCTGGTGTCACTGGCAATTTCCGTACTGGGGCTGTCGTCCGGCGTGTGGGATCTGATATGGTGATTTCTAGGGTGAAGGGCTTCGACTGTGTGTGTGTCACATATTTATCATCTTCCGACGCAGTACGCAATATTTAGCCACGTATCTCGAATTGAAAGCGATTGACAGACATTTCATCAATCTGCCTCCGGTTGACGCCTAGCAACCATGTACCTTCACAACGTTGCAGACCTTGAGCGCGAGTCGTCCGTCATAAATAGGCTACATGCGACATCATAAGGCGAAAGTCAATTCACAATGCAGCAATGGCCGAGAGCGGTTTCCACGCCACGCGGCTCGCCATCAGCCAATGAGATCTGTCCTACTCGCAAAGGATTACTTCTGCTCTCGTCCTGTTTCAATGCGGCGTCTGCCTTTCATCATCCTTGCTCCCATTTCCTGTACTTGCAACACACTGAACCATCCTTCTACCATTGAACCTTCTGACTTTTGCTTCACCTTGGTTACGGCAGTCTGTCTGCATCATGAATCATGATAGTCCCCTACTGGGGTTCATTGATTCGGGCGAACTACCGTACCTCAGCGGAGCACGACAAGATTGAATGCTCGCGCACAGGGACCTCTCTCGCTTAAAGTCTTGACTGGAGTCGGAGGGAAATGGTAAGCGTCGTCGAAGATGTACAGCCGTACGTCTTCCCGGTGTATGCATATCAATACGG